CTTCTCACTACATCACATTACCTCTGGAACTGCAGGGGAGCAGTAACGGACAGAAAAGCATGATGGCTCTCTCCTTCCCTCCTTGGTGTGGTCAGTGGGAAGAGGCAAAGGAAGGGCTCTGACACTGCCCCCTGACACTGCAACCTGGATGTGGTGTTTTCTGCTGCTTTACTACTCCATGAGGTTAAAAAGACAGTGACCAATTTAAACTGTATCTTTGAAAATACAATTGTCAATAGTAGTGTGTAATGTCTATACACAGCCATTTTAATAAACGTGCTTTTTTTGTGAACATGAGTAACTTGATCTAACAATTACAGGTTCCAGAGGATCTACACAGACCTAGCTGGGGTGTAATCTGTAGGATACAATAAAATACAACTCAGCCATTGAAAAGAACAGCAGATTGCCAAGACATATTGTTGGGTGAAAAAAGCAAGTTGCAGAAAGATATTCATATAGTATAATATATCATTTATATAAAAACCTCAAGTGCAAACTTATCCTATATATATTTTATAGGGACATATGTATGGATGTAAATGCATTGAAAAGGCTCAAAGCAGTAACAGTGTTTGCCTCTAAGGAGGTGGAATGGGGAGCAGGATGGGCAGCAGGGATTAGTTAAAAGAGAATTTAAATTTTCAGTAATGTTTCAACTTTTTACAAGGAGAAGACTTTTTAAATTATTTCTATGATTTAAATTTATTTTTTAAAAACTCCTTAAAGAAAAAAATGGTAACTTCAGTGGAGAAACCTGGCAATCACCACTAGCTTAACCAAGTGAGCTAGCTTAACATCAGCTATGATGTCATGTTGATATCATGTTCCCTGAATAGGATGTGGTGAGGACAGTTAGCCTCTGTGATATTCTTCTTCCTCTAAACCCATAACCTCAGTGTAACCATGAGAAAATATCAGAAAAACTCAAATCAGGCAAAGGTCTACAGATTGCGGGGCTAGTACTCCTAAAGACTGTCAATGTCATGATAAACAAGGAAAGACTGAGGAACTGTCACAGAGCGGAGGAGGCGGGGGAGGTGCGATGATTAAATGTAATGTGGTACCCTGGATAGGATCCTGGGGCAGAAAGAGAACATTAATGGAAAAGCTGGTGAAATCCAGGGAAAGCCTAATTAACAGTAATGTACCAATGCTGGTTCCTTGGTATGACAAATGTATCACTACAATGTAAGATGTCAATAATGTAAGAAACTGAGTGGAGGTATATGGGAACTCCTTGTACTGTGTTTGCAGCTTTTCTATAAATCTCAAACTATTTCAAAATAAATTAAAAAGACAAAAACTCCCTAAAGGAAAGTGGGGCCAGGCATAACGGCTCATGCCTGTAATCCCAGCACTTTGAGAGGCTGAAGCAGGTGGATTGCTTCGAGACCAGCCTGGGCAACATGGTGAAACCCTGTCTCTACAGAAAAAAAATATATAGCTGGTAGTGATGGTGTGTGCCCACCCACCCGCAGTCCTAGCTATTCTGGGGATTGAGTCAGGAGGAGCACTTGAACCCAGGAGGCAAATGCTGCAATTAGCTGAAATCACACCACTGCACTTCAGCCTGGTCAACAGAGTAAGACCCTGTCAAAAACAAAAAAACAAAACAAAACAAAACAAAATGGAAAAGTTACTGGTGAATGGCATTCAGTGTTGATCAGAAACTGTTCTGAAGTTGTGCTACAATTAGTGATTATATTCATTCTCTCAGAGATGCCAAAATGGACAGACAGTCATCCTATGAAGTTTGTTTTTCTTTATGCAGAAGGCCCTTAAGAAACTTATCTGTCACAAGGTATTGGTTGTCAGTTGCCAGATTCAGAATCAAGATGCTGACCAACATACAGATGCTAAAATCCACACTTGACTGCTACATGTTTGCAAAACAGTAACACAGCTTTAAAATTCATACTCACATTCCCATAACTCCTCCTAGCTGCCACATTTTTACTTAATTCTAATCTGATTTGATTAGCATTTAACATCCAGAATGACTATGTGCTACCAGTGGGGCCCTGATACAGTATAAAGTGGCTCTTGACCAAAGCAGAAATACTCGAGGAGGTCATAAAGTTACATCCATGGGAAAATGTGAAGAAAACTAGAAAATATTGGCCATTGCCTTGGAATTTCTATTCTTAAACCCAGTGCTATTTTCTGTTCTCTGCTTTGGAATAGAAAATAGCACTGGTTTTAAGAAAGGGAAAAAAGGGAAGGGAAGGGAAGGGAAGGGAAGGAAAGGGGAGGGAAGGGGAGGGGAGGGGAGGGAAGGGGAACCCCTTCCTGGGTTCAAGCAATCCCTCCTGGGTTCAAGCAATTCTCCTGCCTCAGCTTCCCGAGTAGCTGGGACTACAGGCGCCCACCACCACGTCCAGCTAATTTTTTTTATTTTTAGTAGAGATGGGGTTTTACCGTGTTAGCCAGGATGGTCTCCATCTCCTGACCTCGTGATCTGCCCGTCTCGGCCTCCCAAAGTGCTGGGATTACAGGCTTGAGCCACTGCGCCCGGCCCTCTCCTCACTCTTATTCATCTCCTCTCACCCCTTTATGGACCCCCAGAATCTAATTCCCCTTATTCTCTCACTCAAGGAGGAAAACAGATGTGTGTTGATGGCCCTCAGATGTTAATACCATAACTCCCTGGGTAAAGGATGATTATAACATCTGCATCAAGAGGTAAACTGTCCAAGGCTAGGCATGATGGCTCATGCCTGTTATACCAGCACTTTGGGAGGCTGAAACAGGTGGATCACTTGAGGTCAGGAGTTCGAGACCAGCCTGGCCAACATGGAGAAAATCCATCTCTACTGAGAATATGAAAATTAGCCAGAGGTGGTGGTGCACGCCTGTGGTCCCATCTACTCAGGTGGCTGAGGCAGAAGAATTGCTTGAACCTGGGAGGCAGAGGTTGCAGTGAGCCGAGATCGCACCACTGCACTCCAGTCTGGGTGACAAAGTGAGACTCTGTCTCAGGAAAAAAAAAAAAAAGAGTAAAATAAAAGTAAAAAGAGGTAAACTGTCCAGGATCTTAGGAGCAAAGACATGGTTCTGAGACACCGGGATAGACTCTGCCTTCTCACTCCTTTCTCCCCTACCCTATAGTCTCTATGTTTGGTTCGGGAATAGGAACCAAACATAAATTTTTTTTAATGTCTCCTTGTTCGTGTAAGATCTTCCTGAATGGTGATACAAACTTCAGTTGTAAAATGGCAATGGGATACGAAAACTGTGGCTATTTTTTCAACTCTGGCAGGATGCTAGCCAAGGAGTGTGTCACTGGTAGTCGCATACTCTGTCAGGAAATTCAAGGGCCAGGGAGATCCATGCTGATATGTTGCCTCTGCTCCTGATCTGTGTGGCCAACTCATTTCTCATTTGATCTCTAGATCCTTGCTCAAACAAATTGAACAGTTATAAAAGGTGTGTGTGTGTGTGTGTGTGTGTATGTGTGTGTATGTGTGTGTGTGTGCATGCTCCCAACTAATCCATAACTCACTGGATACCTTGAGGTCTCACTTTCCCCCATATCCCATATCACGGGATAATGAACTGTGACAGTGCTTCTTTCTCCAGCATTCTACCCAACTTCCCCACAACTTTGACTTTATGCAATTTTCAGGTACTCTACAATCATTTTAGGGGTGAAAGTAATAGAATTTATACAAAAGGGGCTCACTACAAATTCATAGCATTGTGTTTTACCAGGGGCCTCTTGACTATGCAGTCAGTCGTGTATTTTCCTCTCACTGATGGTCCTGTGGTCTTTATCATAGCCAGGCACCCCCTCACATGTAGCTCTTGCAGTTCGCTTCACTAATGCAGATGACCTCTGCCTCCTCCCTCTCTATGAGACAGCCAGGGCCAGTCAGGAGCACCCACATCTTACCTTTCTGCACCTAAAAATTCTGTGTATCCCATTCACCTCAAGGGAAGTGATGTCATTCTTGATTTCTCAAAATTACTCTTCCATCTGGTTTCCCCATCTCATCCCCTCCTCTTCCCCAGGGTCATCTGTTTCTCACATTTCCCTTTTCGTATCTTCTGTCTCCTCTTCTCTACTGCTTCCTCACCTTAGACCACAAATATATTTGGGTCTTCCCAACTTAAATAGACAAATGACATGAAACTCTTCTTTTAGAGTGAAAAATAATAGCAGATGAAAGCTTCAAAAATGTTATGGTATCATTGTAAAGACAAGTATACACTAGCTTTGTGAACTTCTTTTCACTTCCAAACCTCATGCCTATCCTGTGCAGCAGCTACCTAACTGACTTCCTTGCCTCCAAACTCTCCCTCTTCCAGTCCAACTAACATTTTGCTACCACATTAATTTTCCTTAAAAATATGCCTTTGTATGAAATATTTTCCTTATAGGAAAAAGCACAGATTCCTTTGTCTGGAATGCATGAGCATTCACAACTAGCACCTCCCCTGACAAACAAACAAACAAAAAAATAGCCTTTCTTTTCACTATATTTCCACATGAATCTTCCACTCAACTAAGCTGGCTCTGACTATATCACATCCAGTATCTCCTCAGCATGCTCTTCATGCTGTACCTCCTAGAATGCACTCGCTACTTTCTTCCCCATCACTTCCCTAAGTCCTATGCCTCCTTCAAATCCAGCCCAATTTCCTCTCCTTCAAGAGGCTTTCCTCAATAGAATCTACCCTTTGGGGACTACTTTCTAAATACGGTATTTAATAACTGTCCAGCTCATTGGGTGCTTAGCCCTTGGATGTACAGCCTTGCATTGGTATTTATTGGTTTAAGTATCTGTCCTCACAGGAACAACATCTTATGTTATACCTCTTTATATCTTTCTTTTTAATTAGCACTTAATCTTTCTTATAATGAAAATAAACCTGGCTAGATTATAGAGATTTTGGTGGGGAGGGTTTCAGAAAAACTACCAAAGTAAATGTCTAAGGGCTACACACAGGTAGCAAGTTGAGTAAAAAGGCATTTTGGTTATTTCTTCCTGTAGTACCTGACAGAGGTTGATGTTGCTGTAAATATTCTCCCAGACTTGGTCATAGTTGCACTGATGCAAACCCTGGGAAGGCACAAAGGATGGATGATGTGGAGCCAGCATGACTATCTTTGCAGCATGATCTTGGAGCACTTCATTACTCGCTCAGGGTTGGAAATCTCAGGTAGAATAGAGAAGAGAAGGAATGGTTATGAGAAGTATGTTCCCTTTTTCTCAGCAAGACTTTGGTCACATACACGTGAACAAGGAAGAAAGTCTAGGTGGGACTTTATTCAATTAAAAAAATAAAATTAAAGTCCAACATCATGATTCCCCAAATATGTTTGTCCATTCAGCACTATAAGTATTCAAATATACATAGTAGCTCATTTAAAAATTCTGTGACAATCCCCTAAAGACAATAGCAGGTGGTGTTCCCACAAGTGTTGTGGCATCAGTGAAAAGATAAATACCCATCAGCATTGGGTGCAAACTCTGTCAACTGTTAAGAAGCTTCTGGGCAATGGAGGAGGGGGCAGAAGTATAGCACAAGAAGAGCACAAGCTTTATAAAGATACAGACCTAGGCTCGTATCTCTGCAGGAATCCTGGCTTTTCCATGCAGAGCAGGGCAAGTCAACCTAACAAAAATGCTAATGATGTCTCTACCCAGAGTGCTGCAATAATGCCTACCATGTAGGAGGACCTGAATAAATGTCCCTTCTTTTCATCTGGAGGTAAAGAATTGAGTAATAATCCCAGAATTGAATTGCTACTTAAGTGATACATATATACTACATCACTTTAATATCACAAAGAACCTCAAAGATCATTTATTTTGATCTCTATCAAAATCCCAAAGACATTTCTTGCAGATATAGAAAAATTCATCCTACAATTTATATGAAATCTCAAGGGACCCCAAATAGCTAAACAACTTTCCAAAAGAACAAAGTTGAAGAACTTACACTCCCTGAATTCAAAAACTATTACAAAGATATAGTAATCAAAACAGTATGGTACTGGCATAAAGAGAGACATTTAGACCAATGGAATAGAGTAGACAGCCTAGAAATAAACCCTCACATATATGGTTAAGGGTGCCAAGACCACTCAATGGGGAAAGGACAACATCTTCAATATATGGTGTTGGGAAAACTGAATATCCACATGCAAAATAATAAAGTTTTATCCTTACATTATACCACATACAAAAATTACTCAAAATGGATTAAAGATCCAAATGTAAGACCTAAAATTATGAAACTCTTAGAAGGAAACATAGGGGAAATGCTTCATGATATTAAATTTGGCAACCATTTCTTGAATATAACACCAAAAGTCCAAGCAACAAAAGCAAAAATAGACAAATAGGATGACACCAAACTTAACAACTTTAGTGCAGCAAAGGATGCAAATCAATTGAAATGAAGAGTCAACCTACATAACGAGAGAAAAGATTTGCAAATTATATATCCAATATGTGACTAATAGCGAGAATACATAAAGAACTCCAGGCTGGGTGCAATGGTTCACACCTGTAATCCCAGCACTTTGGGAAGCCAAAGCAGGTGGATTGCTTGAGCCCAGGAGTTCAAGACCAGCCTGGGAAACATGGCAAAACCCCATCTCTACAAAAAAATCCAAAAAATTAGCCTGGTATAGTGGTGTGCCCCTGTAATCCCAGCTACTTGAGAGGTTAACATGGGAGGATCGCTTGAGCCCAGGAGGAGGAGGTTGCAGTGAGCTAAGGTCACACCACTGCACTTCATCCTGGGTGACAGAGTGAGACCCTGTCTCAAAAAGAGCTACAACTCAACAAGAAAAAATCAAATAAACTGATTTTAAAATAGGTAGTCAATTACAAAAAAAAAAAGAAAGAAAGAAAGATGAAAGAAAAAATAAGCAAAGGATTTGAATAGATATTTATCTAAAGATGATATACAAATGGCTAAGAAGCATATAAAAGATGCTCAAAATCACTAATCATCAGAGAAACTCAAATCAAAACCACAGTAAGATTTCACCTCACACCCATTAGAATGGCTGCTATTAAAAATCATAAAATAACCAGTGTTGGTGAAGATGTGGCAAAATTGGAACCTTTGTGCACTGTTGGTGGGACTGTAAAATGGTGCAAATCTATAGAAAACAGTATGGTGTTTCCTAATAAAATAAAATAAAATAAAATAAAATAAAATAACCATGTGATCCAGCAATTATACTTCTGGATATATATCCAAAAGAACTGAAAGCAAGACCTTGAAGAGGTATTTGCACATCCATGTTTATAGCAACATCACTGACAATATCCAAAAGGTGGAAGCAACCCAAATCCTCATATCAGATGAATAGATTTTTTTTAATGTGGTATATACTTACAAGGGAATGTTATTCGGCCTTGAAAAAAAGGAAGGAAATTCTGACACACACTACAACATGAATGAACCTTGAGGACATTATACTAAGTAAAATAAACCAAAAAGACAACTATTGCATGATTCCACTTATATGAGGTATCCAAAGTAGCCAAACATATAGAAAAAGAAAGTAGAATGGTGGTTGCCAGGAGCTGAGAGGAAGGAAAAATGAGAGTTGTTGTTTGATGGGTATAGAGTTCTAGTTTTGCAAGATGAAAACATCCTGGAGATATATTGTGAAACACTATGAATGTATTCAGTGCCACAATTACCATGTTCTTTTGGAGGTGTCATGTTTCCTTGCTTTTTTGCTTCTTGTATTCTTTTTTTTTTTTTTTTGAGATGGAATTTCTGTCTTGTTGCCCAGGCTGGAGTGCAATGGCACGATCTCAGCTCACCACAACCTCCGCTTCCCAGGTTCAAGCGATTTTCCTGCCTTAGTCTCCCAAGTAGCTGGGATTACAGGCATGCACCACCTTGCCTGGCTAATTTTGTATTTTTAGTAGAGACACGGTTTCTCTATGTTGGTCAGGCTGGCCTTGAACTCCCAACCTCAGGTGATCCACCTATCTCGGCCTCCCAAAGTGTTGGGATTACAGGCGTGAGCCACCGCGCCCAGACGCTTCTTGTATTCTTACACTGATATCTGTGTATCTGGTGGAATGGGTGCCTCTTCCAATTTTATGGGGTAGCTTTTATAGGGATACATTTTCTGTATCCCTGAATTATATACAGTAAATATTCATTTAATGTCATCAATAGGTTCTTGGAAACCACAACTTTAAGCAAAACAATATAGAGCAGGCCCTCAAATAACATCATTTTATTCAATATCATTTTATTGTAATGTTGATGAGAAAAAATGCTGATTTTTCTTATACGTTGTTTGGTTTAAAGTTGCAGTTTCCAAGAATCTATCGATGGTGTTCAGTGAGGACATACTGTACTTAAAGATGGTTATGGTAAATTTTATGTTACTTTTTTTTTTTTAACCAAAATAAAAGTATCATTTAGGTGCAGGCTCCCCAGGGACCAACGACCAGCCCACCTGGTGCCTACAGCTGCCAGCAAACCCATCTCCTCCAGTGGCAGAGCCACCATGTACTACACCAGTATCCCAGGAACCAACATCCAGCCTGACTGGTGCCTGCAACACCAACCCTGCAACCAGCAGAGATGACATGCCCAGTGTGTGCCCTCCAGAACCTGAGAATTGGCCCTCTTGGTGGCCCTTATCCCAAGCAAAGCCATACCACTACTGCCTTCACAAATATCCAGAGCCTAGGCCGGTAATGTACTTGCAGACACCACTGACACTGAATACAGCCAAAGATATCACACAGAGACTACACTATTGTACCCGTCCAGAACCAAAACTAAAGCATCCTTACGTAACCAACACTATAGGACACATCTACGGGGAAAATATAGCCCTATAAAAGCTACCCCATAAAATTGGAAGAGGCACCCATTCCACTGATATGCAGATATCAGTATAATAATACAAGAAGCAAAAAAGCAAGGAAACATGACCCCTCCAAAGGAAAATGGTAATTATCTAGCAACAGACCCCAAAGAAAAGGCAATCTATAAAATGCCTGGATAGGAATTCAAAATAATGATTTTAAGAAAACTCAGTGAGATACAAGAGAAAACAAACAGACAACTCAATAAAATCAGAAAAATAATTCATGATCTAAATGAAAAATCTGGTCAGGCATGGTGGCTTTTACCTGTAATCCCAGCACTTTGGGAGGCTGAGGTGGAAGGATTGCTTGAGCCAGGTGTTCAAGACCAGCCTGGGCAACATAGCGAGATCTTGTCTCTACTAAAAATTTTTAAAAATTAGCTAGGTGTGGTAGTGCATTTCTGTAGTCCTAGCTACTTGGGAGCTGAGGTGGGAGGATCATTTGAGCCCAGAAGTTCAAGGCTGTAGTAAGAGTTCTAATTGTGTCACTACACTCTAGCTTAAGTGACGAAGCAAGACTCTGTCTCAAAAACAAACAACTAATAAATAAATAAATAAGATATTCAATAGAGATCAATATAAAAAAGACCCAAACGGAAATCTTGGAGTTAAAGAATTCAGTGAATAACATAAGAAATACAACTGAGAAATTCAACAATAGACTAGATCAAGCAGAAGAAAAGTTTTCTGAACCTGAAGGTCTTTTGAAATAATCCAGCCAACCAAAAAAGAAAAAATGAAGAAAGCTTAAAGGATTTATATAACACCATTGAGTAAACAAATATTCATTTTATGGGAATTCCAGAAGGAGAAGAGCAGGAACAAGGCATAGGAAATCTATATAATAAAATAATCGCTGAAATCTTCCCAAGTCTTAGGAGAAATATGTATATTCACATCTAGTAAGCTCAAAGGTTCCCAAATTCAACTCAAAAAGCCCTCTCTGAGGCACATTATAGTTAAACTGTCAAAAGTCAAAGACAAAGGAGAAAATTCTAAAAACAGCAAGAGAAAAGTGGCAAGTTACATATCATGGAATCTCCGTCAGACTAACAGAGATTTCTCAGCAAAACCTTATGGGCCAGAAGAGAATAGGATGATATATTTAAAGTGCTGAAAGAATAGAAAAACTGCCAGTCAAGAGTACTATTCCTAGCAAACTTAACCTTCAGAAATGAAGGCAAAATAAAGTTTTTCCCAGACAAGGAGAAAATGGGGAATTTATCACCACTAGACTGGCTTAACAAGAAATATAGAAGTCCTGCATCTGGAAGTGAAAGGACAATAACTAC